GCACCACAAAAAAACAAGTATAATGGTCTAAATTAAGCCGTGGTTGTTGTTGTTGTTAAGTGCTGTTGAGTCGGTTCTGACCCATAATGACCCTGTACAGGGTTTCCAAGGCTGTAAATCTTTACGGGAGCAGAAAGCTTCATCTTTCTCTCACGGAGCGACTGGTAGTTTCGAACTGCTAACCTTAAGGTTCACAGCCTGATTCATAACCACTACACTACCAGAGTTCCTTTAATTAACTAATTAATTAATTAAGCCATACCTATCAATAATTGCACTGAATGTAAATGGATTAAATGCACCAGTTAAGGGACAGAGGGTGGCAGATTGGATAAGAAAACAAGATCCTTCAATATGCTGTCTGCAAGAGACATATCTTATACACAGAGACAAAAGCAGATTAAAAGTCAAAGGATGGATAAAGTATACCAAGCTAATTGCAATAAAAAATTAGCAAGAGTGGCCATGTGAATCTCTGATAAAATAAACTTTAAGGCAAAAATCAACATAATATATGAAGATGAACATTATCTCATGATTAAAGGGACAATTGAACAAGATGACATAACCATAATAAATATCTATGCTCCCAATGAAAGAGCTCCAAAATATATACAGCAAACTGTAATAGATTTGAAGAATGAAACTGATGAATATACAATAATCATGGGCGATTTTAATATACTGCTCTCAAACGTGAATAGAACAACCAGAAAAAAACTTGACAAAGACACAGAGGATCTAAACAACACAATCAGGCAACTGGACCTCATAAATGTATACAGATCATTCAACCCAACAACAGCACAATACGCATTCTTTTCTAGTGCATAGGGAACATTCTCCCGAAAAGACCATGGTTAGGCCACAAAACAAACCTCCATAAATTTATAAATATCAAAATACTACAAAGCATCTTCTCAGACCACAGTGCTATCAATTAGAAGTCAACAATAGGAAGGCCAAGGAAACAAAGTCAAATACATGGAAACTGAATAACAACACACTGAAAATCAACTGGATAGTAGAAGCAATAAAAGGTGAGTTCACAAAGTTGCTAGAAACAAACGAGGCCAAAAACTCAACATACTAAAATCTTTGGGATATGGCGAAAGTAGTGCTTAAAGGACAATTTATTGCAATAAATGCACACATCCAAAAAGAAGAAAGAACCAAAATTAACACATTAACCCATCTACAACAATTATAATCAAACCAACAGAGGGAACTTACAGTCACCAAAAGAAAATAAATAATAAAGATCAGAGCAGAAATAAATGAGATAGAAAACAGAAAAACTATAGAAATAATCAACAGTACAAGAATCTGGTTCTTTGAAAGGATAAACAAAATCGACAAACCATTGGCAAACCTAACAAAAGAAAAGAGGGAGAAGACACAAATAACTCACATTAGAAACTACATGGGCAATGTCACAACAGATCAAATGAAATCAAAAGGATAATAACAACACTATGAGGAGTTGGACTGCAACTCTTAGAAGAGATGGGTGTAGCTTTAGAAAAACACGACCTACCTAAACTTATACAGAATGAAGTAGAAAACTTGAACAGACTCATAACACAAGAAGAAATTGATCAGGTCACCAAAAAACTCCCAACCAAAAGTAGTCCAAGCCCAGATGGCTTCATTGGTGAGTTCTACCAAACATTCAGGGAA